GCGCAGTGCACGCAAGTTACGTCACGTACACTTGAAAACTTATTATGTGGATATAATAAAAGCCATTGTATGTAAATAAGGCCCGATTCGTTTAGTTATTTGTCGAATAATTGTGTTTCGTATAAATTCTCTGATTTTGACATCATTTATTTCTATCGTAAACATCACTAAGGATCTTTTGCTAAGGTCAAATGAAGACCAAGCGATGCTAGAAATATTACGTCACATTCGTTAAACATGCATTCACTGCAAATTTTTGTTAAATCGTCGTTACTTTTGAGGGTGGTTTCAAAATTACGTTGAAAATGTCCCATGACTAAAAAATCAGAATTTTGTGAAATAAATGTGATTTTCATAGTATGTAAAAACTGGTGCCCACACGCTCTCAGGTACACACGCAACGACAAAACATTTCCGACGAACGCACATTTTCCGGCTGCTCGATCAAATACACGGTTGATACTGGAGAGTCCGACAGGCCCGCTTTCACTCGCTCACTCGGCATCTTTGGCAAACAGAACGCGCACGTACAGCCCTTTATCCTAGCTCGGTAATGCAAAGGCAAATATTACCGAGTAAAAAGCGCTTCGACTCACTCTCTAGTCTGTCTCTCTCTCTCGCTCGCTCTCGAAAGGGCTTTGACTCTTTCGGCTATGTATACATATATAGCATACACATCCACCATCGGTACTACACACCACTAGTAGCAAGCAAGTACGGCAACGTATCTTTTGTTAATTGAATCGATTCGCTTTTGCCTCGAGAGCTTTTATGCGCTTTATCCTCTTGGATAGATTGTTTTGGAGATTCAATTGAGTATTAATGTTTCTGCCGCTCCTTACGCTTATGATCGTATTGACCGGGTAATGCATTTTATTTTCAGCGCAATGCCTGCGATTCGTTTGGTTGAGCAGCGAGTAGCGCTCGCGAGGAACATCGTTTCTGAATTATTCATGAAGCAAGGTTATCGCGACAAAGAGATTACGATTTTTTCTCCTCTAATAAAGGCCTTCAGATTTGAATAATATCCCTCGTAATTTTCTATTGTTGTTTTGTACCTTTTGAAAATAGCTCTCGTTAATTAAAAATGATCGATTATTTCAATTCAGGAATGTTAGGGCACACAAAAGTCAATGCTTATGAGTTCAAATGACATAGCTGTAAGAATGATGGGTAGAAAAAGCACAGGTCAAAGAAGATCCTCTGTACTCTTGTATTCTATGGCATAGCACGGCTCACAGCAAGCGGTGGTGAGTTTCATGTCACAACATAGATTGTCGCGTCATTATTTTACTGAAGCAGCAGCAGCAGCAGCAGCAGCAGCAACAGTGGTGCAGCATAAACACGAAGCGGAATAAGAGGATACCTTTGATCGTGCGTTCAATGAACAGCATGCCGAAGCAGCAGCATATGGGCCTCGCGAATCCCGCAGCATATATATACCAGTTTGCATCTTTCCATCTCCCAGGAGAGACACTTTTCAGAGTATCTGGCAGTCGAGTCGACTCGACCAGCAGCAGCGACGGCGGCGGCTGCGCATTGTGCACAGCGTATAAACAAATAACGCACGATTCACGCATACATAGGTACGCTGAAACCGTGGCGCAGGGATGATTTTCAATGCTACGTATACACGTGCGTACACACGTTTTTGAATGAGAAGCAACCGATGTTTATCTACTTTGAAGCTTTGCATTGTTGACGTGTAGCTATGCTATAGATCCACAAGAAAAAGGGATGAGAGAAAAAAACGACGCAAACAGAGAAACGGAAAATATTATGTAGCATACATTGAAGAACGCAATAATCCTGAGTTCAGCATTTTATCATACAGCATGAACTACTTTTAGACGGTTTTTTCTCTTCTTTTAAGATTAGTCGTGTAGTTATGGGTTGTAGCTCTAGAAAAAGTGATGTTAACCTTTACGACGGGTCGACGAATAAATAAAATTTTATCGATTGATTTGAAGAGAATTTAAAAACAATGATTCACACTTGTAATCTTATGATGAATGATTCCGTTAATCTTCATTGCAAAATGATTTCCTGTCACCGCGTTCCGATTTGAATGACTGTGAAACCACAAAAAAGCTCAATAGTAAACGAATTAACAATGATCAGTTTACTCGATAATACGTAGGAATAGTTTCGCTGCGAGAAGGTATTATAAATGTATACAAATGCTCACATGCGTATACACGCGCATGCGAGGAAGAGAGAAATTTCCTTAATACCCCTTTAGCATATAACGCTCGCAAGACTGCTCGCATTGCATTTGCGTAAATTTGTAAGCTTTCGCTTTCGTAGTATATATGCGCGCGCGCGAGCTTTTGAATACTACACGGTCAAATTTTCACCTGACTGTACGCAGAGGAAACTAATACCTCGCATCTCACTGCTGCATCTATTTCTCTGCGGCAAAGTTCGTTTCATTTGAAGCTACATGGTCTGCGCTAATCCCGTCAAAGTTCCTGCTACCTGCGGCTAATATTTACGCATAACATTAAACAATACGATGTTAATTTATATTTTACTCAGTAACTAAATTTAAAAACTATCGATTCCAAATACGGGAAAGTGGAGAAGTTCAACGGGTAGCGCTGACCATGTATGCGCGCAGTCACACGCAAATGTATCATAATCCCCTATCTCTAAACGTCTGCCACGATTTCGTCTAATTTCCGTGACGTTTGTCACCTTCTAATGTATTATATCAATATACATATATCTGGGTGTAGCACGGCGACGGTGGCGCAGTCCCAGCCGATATCATTACGATGTGCAGTCCGCAGGCCACAGCTGAATACACGACGACGAGTACGACCTATATTCATGCGTACCCATTCCCATTAGTTACTGGCTGCGGCGCTGCATAGTTGAACAGATGCTGCCTGCGCTAGGACTGACGTCTCCGACATAATTTTGTCCGCATGACCAAGCGTCGCACACTGCACCGCTGCAGTGCCCTATAACTAACTCAATAATGGAAATTCTGGCAGTTGAAGTCCTCTGACAGACTCCAGTACTTCAGTGTGGTTGCTCGTCGAGTGCTTTGGGCTGCTGCTGCTGCTGCTGCCGCTGATGCTGCTGCCTCTACTGCTTTTGTTCCAAGATAAAAATTTCAAGTGCGAGAACATCGAAAACGTGCGTCAATGCCCAGATAATGTGGACGAATGCAACGAACGATAGACACAATTTTTATCGAAATAACGTCAAAAGTTCTTGTAGGTTGTATTTGGGGCGATCTGACGCGATCGCAACAATTTTCAAATTTCAAAACTGCTGAGCGACTGCACATAGATGGCACAAAGTGTTTATATGTGTAGGTGGAAAATCCATGTCGCACCGTCGGTAATTAGCATTCTCGCTTGCATTACATCCGAAAACGTGTGCGCTGCGAAATCGCGCATGGAATAACGATTGAAAATTATCGTGCGCAGAATACGTTTGACCTCGTTAAACTCGCTTTCTATATTGCTATTTATCATTACCAGGGAGCGAGAGAGAGATGTCCCGTGTAATAAATCGAATCTCTGGCTACTGTATACATTGTTACGTCGAGATTAAAATAAACACCAAATGAGCAAAGAAAATCGTTGCAAAGCCTTTGATACGCGTATCCCTCTTGATTTTGCCAAACCAATTTTTCTCATATTTATCCCGATGATTTTCCCACAGAATATTTTGATTTCAGGCGACAATAAAGATTCATGCAGTTTCGTCAATTTTTTTCAATTGCGCCGACTTATGGCATATTTATCTTGAAAATATATACTTCTTGGCGCAATTTCGAACTCATAACAGCATAATAAAATGAGCGTATGAATCTGCAAAAGTTTATACGATGCACTTTCTGCTTCAATGAAAAGCTAGTAGAACGGAATACACAAGCGCTGCTGCTACTGCTCCTCTTGCGCCCGTATTTGCCTAGGCAAGAGAGACCCATACCGTCGTCCTGTACGCGCGAGTCAACCGTGTGTATGAGAGCGAGCGCATGTTTTCCTCGCTCTGCGATGCTGCTGATGCTACTGCTGCTACTGCTGCTGTCTTGGGAAGGGTGAAATTAGCAAACTTTCCAAACTCTCGGGAAAAAAATAGACAAAGATTACTACTCTCTTTTCCTCTTCGCCCCTTTGGTCTTCCTCGCTCTCTCTTTCTCTCTCTTTCTCTCTCTTATCCGTTAGTAGATAGTTACGGAAAAAGACCGAACAACTTTCGGTATTTTCTCTCTTCCTTTCCTCCACCTCCGCCTTCTTCTCTCTCTTGGCGACTCTCAAAAGGCAAAGTTTTCTCCAAAGCTCTTTTTTTTCGTTAGTGGTGGCTGTGTCCGTTAATTAGTCAAGGACTTGCTTAAAATAATTAATTAGTGATCAAAATGGATTGGGAGCCCGAATGGTAATTTTTATTGCGGTTTCTGTTGATGTGTAGCTCAATTAAACATTTCCAAACTGTGTTATTTACATTTTTTTTTCACTTTTTAAAAATTGTTTTTTATCTGTATTTTTAAAAGCAGAATAATACAAAAACGAGTTTTAGAATTAGTATTTCGTAAATATTTTCTTGTCTTATTATTTAAAATTTTTGGAATAGCTTATTTTTTCACATCTCAACTGTACAGCTTCATTAATTAAAATTTCGCGATGTTTTCAAAATTATTAAAAGTTCATTTATTAATATAATTGAATTATTATTATTGGTTGATATTGTTGATATAATGAACACAGCAATACGGTAAAACTAACATTGAACGTGTTACACGTCATTAAATGGTAATGTGCATCCACGCATACGTATCGCCGTTTCGTTGTACAAACATAATTTTAAATTATGGTACAAATAATACATCATCTATTTAATTTTTTCAAGATATCAGGCAATTCGATTTGCGCATATTACGTATGTCCACGTATCGTGTCAACACACGTGTTCACCTTAACTATGATGATTTATTACAATAAAAACTATAAAATGTTCGCTGAAGAGAACATTGCCAACTCTTACCCTTGTGAACAAGGAATTATTACTGAAAAAATGAAATTGTTTTTGGCTCTTTTGGCCTTCGTGGCTTACGCTGCAGCTCAAGATGAGGAATTATCGCCAGTAAGTATATCGTTATCTGAAAGATCAAATTTGTTTGTGCTTTATTAAATTGTATTGTATGCTTTACAAATCACCAGAGGTTTTTCTTTCACTCGCCAAGGCGCGAACCAAGTGTTAGCAACATAATACCTGGAACAAATGTAAATATCAGCAATGTAATAGCTGGCCGAATGGCTGACGAAGATGCTGGCGATAACGGTGACGAAGAATTGGTTGGTCCCAACAATCAATTAAACATTGAGAGACAGGGGCCGTACATTCCAGGGGTCTCAGAAGCAGTCGAGTTCGCGAAGAAACAAGTTTTAGCTCAACTACAAATCAATAAAGACTTCCACACGGGCATACGCGATGCTGTGAACCAAGCCATCAACAGTCCTAATCCTGCACAAGCCATCAAAACAGTCCAGGAACACATTAAGAAGTATTTCCAAATTGAAGCTCAACGGAATCCCTTCCTTCTCGTAGGCAGATTGATAGTTAAACAGGGTCAACGATTGTCCCAACAAGTGGGCCAAATGTTTGAACAGCAACGCAGACAAAATCAAGGTCAAAACCAATCAGGCTCGGGACAAAATTCTGCTTCATCTCAACAGACAACCACTGGTTCACCATCAACCACCGTACCTATTCAGTCTGCTTAATGTAGACCATCTAACAATGAATTATTTCAAAAGTATGAACATTAACGAATACTAAGAGCATTAAAGACGTTTTCATTTTATTCAAAAATAATTTATTTTTTTTGAAAAGCTTTTTATCGTTGTAACTGTGAGCTGGCAGTGCAAACCAAATCCTCTAAATCATGGAAATTGAAATTAAATATAAAATTTATTGTTCAATGCCCAAAACATTTATACTCACATCAAATTTAGATTTAAAACGATTTTTAATAAATTTACTGTAGGTGGTTATTAAAGTTTAAATTTTTTTTATAAATTTTCAAAGCCAAGAATATGTATAAGCGTTGGACATTTTGCCAAATAAAGCGATAAAGTTTTCTTTCTCTCTTGTATTCTGTGTTACTCTCTCTTTTCATGAATAGCTGTTTATACAGCGTCACTTGGCAATGCATAGAATTTTTATCGGCTTCTTGATTCAAACTTTTGTTGGGAGTGAAAGCAAAAATTCTGACAAAAACAGATTTTTCACTATTTTCCTTATTCAGCGAACAAATAGGTCAAGAATAAGAATGCTTGATCGATTTTTATGCAAAAATAATATCTTCGTATACTGGTGAAATCACGTTATTTAAAATGAACTGTTGACATAATTCTATCGTAAGCCGCTCAGGCTCATAAAATGTTCAGCTGTGCATCGAAGGTGCTAGAAGAAAACTTCTTCTTGGGGAAAAAATTTAGGACAGTATTGAAGAAGCAGTAGAATAAATTATTGAATCATTGCACAGAAAATGTAGATAAAACATAGAACATAAAATATCAGGTATAAGTAATTAAAAAAAGAAAATGTTAAAGACTGTGTAGATTAGGGTGTCCGTTATTTCCCGACTTTTTTGTATTGCTTCTCCTCCCACCTAGATGTCTTCTATTTGATTAGACAATGAGAAAGCCAGTCTTTAGAGGTCGAAAAAATGATTTTAAGGTGCCCCCCAAGCGGCTTGAAGCTTACATGTATTTTAAATGGAAAAAACCTAAAGATTTGATTCTTAGCGATAAAAATAATGAAAAAATTTGAAAAGCTTTGAAGTTATGTTCAAGGTCAAATTTAAGGTCACCAATCGATTCCCCGTTAAAAAATACATAAAATACATGGGTTCGTAAATTTTTTCAAATTTTTTCATTATTTTTATCGCTAAGAATCAAATCTTTAGGTTTTTTCCATTTAAAATACATGTAAGCTTCAAGCCGCTTGGGGGGCACCTTAAAATCATTTTTTCGACCTCTAAAGACCGGCTTTCTCATTGTCTAATCAAATAGAAGACATCTAGGTGGGGGGAGAAGCAATACAAAAAAGTCGGGAAATAACGGACACCCTAGTGTAGATATAGGTTGAAATGTTTATTTGACATCGCGGATTCATTCCAAGTCACAGTAGATTTGATTATATGCATTCTGTGTAAGAGGTGAAACAGTAGTTAGTAGCTATGGCTCGAAGCTAATTTCAGACGAACGCTGTTAAAACGTCACCTAATAACCCGATACTCCACTAGCTACAGAGGAGCTTTGGATCGATCGCATTCATTATCTTGATTTATATAGGCGAACACACACATATAGAAACTCCGGCGTAACATAATACGAGCTTACACAAAAGGTAATTATCGTCTCGAGCTTGCAAGTCAAATAAGTTTGACCTGTTTCGCAGGTGCACTATTGGCCCCGTGATGCACGAGTGAAAGCGTGGCTGAGCTCAAGTAAAGTCATGGCACACCGATAGAAAACTCGATCATATTACCATGAATTTTCTTGGGCTTGCTGCTAAAATCGGATAATTCTCACTACCTCGACGATGGTAGAAGAGGCAGTTTAAACATTTGTAGTTCTCACATGAGTCGGCTGACCAAGTTCATTAATGTCTGATTTTTTGCTAATCATTAAACATGTGCAAATTTTAGACATTTTTCTTGTTGATAATGAATGATATTTGCCAGCTAATACATTATTAAACAATATGGGCCAAAGATAAGTTAGAGTAATCCGATTCTGCAAATTTTTAGTAATATGATCGAATTTCCTATAAGTTTATGTATTTAGACTATTTTATAGAGTGATTCATTTTTATTAATTTTAAGTTGTGGAAATGTTTTAGACCCATACAAGCATACAGTTTGCAAGTGTGTTCATCATCATCCAGACATGTTAAAAAATGCACTATCGCACGAATTATATTATCTACTGACATCATTTATCATTCATCATTCATCATATATCATTAAAATGATATATTTGAATAACCTATTAAATATTGTCATACTCAATAGCTAGCTATTCTGATAACATTTCGCATGTAGAATTGGGGGTTATATGATGATCTTGAATATAATTAGGAGTTCCATTGGATAACTTTGACCATTGATTGATCTTCAATGTACTCAATGGCTATTCCTTGTAATATATAACAATTTTAGATTGATGTGTTACATAAAACACATTAAAATGAATTCGATGCTCTTAAAAAAATAAGTATGCAATGAAATTAAATTACATAAAGTTCATGAGTGTAAATTAATAACAACATAAATAAGCTCGTTATTTGCTATAATTCAATTTTGAATAAGTCGATGTTCAAAATAATTATCGCTTCCATGTGACCTCAATATTGACGCGATAATTGAATTTTTTACGTTGCCGACATTTTAAAATCAGATACTTTTACGATATCAAAATTGATAAATATTGATGATAACAAATTCTTGGTTCACGTGCACTTTGTTATTAAACAAAACTCAGATAAGTTGGCTAAAACAAAAACATCATGACTCAATTCCAAGTCAGGTTTCATCTTTTCCGTCTTCTTAAATCTATATACCTCGGTAATACGCACGCGTCGACTTTGTTACAATCTACCTCTTATTTTACGTCTGTATAATTTTGCGGCATGACTACCTGTGCCTTAACATTTTCTATTTTTATCTTCTTTACTTCTTCATATTGTAGTTTCAGAGTAGATCGGGAAAACATGTAAAAACTGCCTAGCACATGCCATTTCTCGACGATTACGACACACTTATTCGTTTTTATTCGTAAATGCTGAATTACAAACACTCTCTTCCGCGAACACGAGCACAATGCTAAAAACATTTATAGTTTCAGGAAATGATGGAAGCAAATTCGAAGTCACACTATTATACAATAGTATGAAAAAATTTTATGAATTCACTGATGTTTTTAAATTTTTGTATGAAAAAATATTCATAATTTTCAAGTAGTTTTAAAGTATAAAATCCTGATTCCATTGGAAAGTATTATTTTACCAATAATTACTTCAGATGACACATCTGTCACTTAATAGTATGAATATAAAGGAAAGGATACTAGAAAAACGCTTTACTTTGCGTACGAAACCGTATGAATTATTTTTATTGACCTGCTCAACACGAAATTAGCGGCTATCATCTTGAAATACATGCAATAGCTATGATTAATAAAATTCGATCATTTTCTTCGACGTGCAAGACAACAAACCAGTCAGTGTCGGTCTCAACGTTCCTCGTGTCTATCTCGTAATGGTCGTTCATTTCCAAGACTCGCATGTCGCAGCTAAGACCACGGCAGTAACAATGATCGCTCATAAAAGATGCTTGAGAAGTGTTGGAGCGAGCTGTTACGAATGAAAATAGAGCCGAAGTAAAGTAACATCAGGCTGGAGTGCTGCAATGCAGTAAATAGCAAAGGCAGCAGACGCGGAGCAGCAGCTTCAACGCTGCCGCCACGAGAGCAGAACAATGTCACTCGCAGCGGCGTGGTTGGCGCGCGCGCGGGCCAGAGTTGGAGAAAATATGGGCTGCATAGGTTCAGAGAGCCCGAACACGCTGTTGCTGCTGGAACGGGAGCCGTGCACCGATGATTACGAGGCAATAAATCTTGCCGGAGTGCAGTGTGGCCGCTGCTACTGCTGCTCTGCAATTACACGTGACTTTACGTTATACACCGCCGAATCATGACGTATGACGTGACCGTCGTCGCCGCCTACACCGCTCACAGCACCTACGTAGCGAGTGGCACGCGTTTACGTGCGTTTAACATGATTGTTCGATGATGACGATGACGATCGACGGCGACCATTGTCGTTTTGATACGCATTTCACGCTTTCGACAATTGCTTCATAGTCTTGCATACAAAGTGCAACGAATCTTGGCGTACTTTTGTCGCTTGTTCGAAAGAACAGATGAAGCTCTGCCTCGAACTGTGTGCACGAGCAATTGAAAATGCATTATTTGCCGATGAAGTTTTTTTAGCTCATCTGCACACACACATACGTGTGCGCACCCTTTAATTATACGCACAAGTTTAAAAGCTTTGAAAAATAACTCGGACATGCTACGCACGCATTGCGATGCAGCGCAAAAGACCGAGAGAAAACCAACGTACGGGATGCGAGGATTTTCTAGCCATTAATCATTCATCCTCTCCTCGCGTTTAATGCATACTCTATTCGTTTTTTTCTGTATTTTCTTTTTTTTTCGAGATAATTCGCGTCGACCCGGCCGAAACAAATGGATTCTCAATGGCTCGCGCTTAGAACAGTTTTGTAGCGAGCGCATGTAAAAAAGGGAAAAAACGAGACGCATTTTTGAAAGGTTCTTACTCTTGCGCGTACGTGGCTATGTAATATAGATTATGCTTGAACTGCGCATATTGCGACGACGACTCGGAGCTATTATTTAGAACTTTGCTACACGCAGTAATGTATACATGTATTTTCTTGAACCGTGTCTATAAAATGACACGTCGGGAAAATATCATTATCATGACAAAAAATGTTTGAGCGACTCTAGCGCTCGAGCTACTGGCGAGACACGTGGACCGTCGTCTGCTTCGATTTCGTGATTCTGCCTGACAGAGCTTTTTGTGTACGTATTTTTTCCCCCAAAAATGCACGTAACTACTAATTCACTCTGAGAAACGGACGCATGTATATAATATACATAGGTTTGCTTGGTAGGGCGTCGGGAGTTATATAGGTGTCGAGGGTGACTTTTGTGCCGTACAATCCTTACACGCGTGTCCATCTGTCCCTCGAGAGGCACAGGGCCGACTGGACTGCTAAAGTGCCGCTGGACCTCGAGGGGACAAGGCGCTTGCCGACAATGAGAGAAAGAGAGAGAGACTCGCAACGCCGACCAGTGCACAGATGGAGTAGCCTCGGAGAAGTACTTTTATACAATGAAGTCATACACACTCGCCCGACTCCAATACGTATGTTCTTCATCATTACTTTTTAACATTTATTAAACGCTTGGATCAAAATATTTATCTCAGCCTTCTGAATATTTTCAGTGAGCTTTTCAGAAATGCTTATTAGTTTGTCTCACAATGTAATAAAATGAGCAAATCCTTTCGAGCGCAACTACGTTCGAAAGTTGATGGGAAAAGTCAACACCTTGCAAAAATCTGCACAGTCACATGACTGCCAAGTAAAGAATTATAAGCAACCCCTGGCGCTCTTACGCGTATAATATATGCGCCTGCCCATACAATACGTATACATGTATAAACAGCCAGTGACACGCAACCTTTGACTCGGAGGACGATGACCAAGCAGCAATGTCCAGCAGCTCGTCTGCGTGCTGTGTAAAAGAGAAGGGTCTCTCTGTGTAAATGGACGCACTGAGCGAACGGCAGACATTGGTGCGAGAGAGAGAGAGAGAGAGAGAGAGAGAGAGAGAGCAGCCGCTCTGCGTACTATACGTAGTCCGAAAGGGGAATTGTGCATCACGTTATACGTCCTCGCCGGGCGTTTCCTAGTGCTGCTGCTGCTATAAGACTCGTGTCAGTACGCCGTACGCGCATACACACGCATACGCGTACGCACACGCGCGTGACAGTAAGCCTAATTTGAATACCGGATTTTACTCGGCATTGGTCCCTCCTCCATCTACGACAGAACTCAATGCGAGAAATCAATTTATAGACCCTTTCGTGTTGCAGATACGGCTAAGAGAGAGAGAGAGAGAGAGGGATGTGAAACGTTGTTACGACCTTCAATACGAGAGTATATACGCGGCGATGGCGCATCTATTTTGGAATAATACAACATGCTGCTGACTCGAGTGTGTGATTTGTGCGCAAAAAGGGTCTTTGCCGTAGTGCCTATCCTAGCCCAGCGACGATTTCTCGTAGGATATTCAAATGCATCCGTGTCCGTTCATTTCTCTTCTCTTCTTGTAAAAAAAAACCTAGTTTAGTTGTATCATTCACGGAACGATCGATTTACCGTAAATATTTAAGAAAAATTTAATGATTAAATTACTAAATTACGGGAAAATTTTTTACTCTAAACATTTAAACTGCCAGTTCATTGGTCAAGAGCTTCCACAGAGAAATTTTTTTTTGTTTCATGTATGCTCACTAATATAAACTAACTAAACCTTTCTTATTGATAAATTAATTATGAATATTCAACTGAAGCAGTGTCGGTGAACTTGCCTGCAAGCACGTGGTTGCGTCAACGAAGTCATTCGTCGTGAAGAGCTCGCCGATGCTTGCAGGTGTCTGGTCGAAACATTAAAGGCCAGCATGCGCTTCTGCTGGAAGAAACCATGTGACGAGGCAGACTGTGAAGTGTGGGGTAAACCATACCGAACGGTCATGTACTGTTTAAAGGGTCCCAGGGGTGGGTCTCCTGACGAACTGGAGCTTGGAGGAACCGGGCCACTAGAAGTTAGAACTGAACGTATGATAACCAACATTTTTTTGTGCTATTATGGCCATAAACTAAATTTTTGAGGGATAAGAGCGAAGATTCGAGCAATTAGGAAAATAGCGACCACCTAACGAGCACGTGCATTGCGAGTTATGCAACGCTTCATTGACGTGACAAAGTTATGAGCCTCGAGCCCTGCAGGTCTGTGTTACAAGCCGCAGCAGAAGCGAGTATGCTAATTTTCAATTCTGCCAATCACAGCGTCCGAAGCAAATGAACATTACTGAAGTAGAAAATCCAAGATTTTCGCGCACACTCGCAAGCTCGTCGCTTGTCCGATTCAAACGTGTTCACTCCCCTTACCCAACGCGCTTAAAGAAGTTTCATGTACAAAAAAAAAGAAAGAGATTATGAGTGAATGTCTTCGTTGAAATTTTCGTAGCTTGCCCTCTGAATCTTTGAGTGTCTGAATTCTTTAAATTTCGTACAGTCTTCCTACCTCACAGTAGTGCACATATTTCGGGATCACAGATAATCCAAGCGATCCTTTTACCGCTCGCAAGGGTTGCAAGAATAAAAATACCACAATGATTAATGCCAGGCTATTGTTCTTCATTTTTTTTTTTGTATTCGTACATTATACACTTTCCATCTTGAGCGCGCGAATAATTATCAAGCGTGTGCTGTTGGTACTGCCGCTGTGGCTGTTACGCATACCATTCATCACCCGCACTAAATATCGTTTTCGTCACGGCGACGTTTTGTGTATACGCTATAATTATAGAAAAACTCGTGAATTTCTTGCTATCATCGCAAGCTCGAAGGCTTGACCATCGTCTCTTTTTTTTGTTTAAAATCTTCAAGTGATTAATCGAATAGAAAATAATTACTCAAGCGGAATAGAAGTAACCCTAACTAATTTGAGAAATTAACTAGAAAATTAAAAATTCTTGCTTGCAATTTTTTACTCTTTATCATTTGAATGTATTTAACTAAAGAAGGGGCTATTCAGGGGAAATTTGTGCACGAAAATGAAAAATTTCGTATACTAATTTTCCCCTGAATCGTCTAATCCGGAAAGCATTTGTCAAGGACGCTAAACTAAACATATCGAGTATTTATTGAAAAATGAAAATCTGTTCTTTCCTTCTGAATTAGGTTTTATTCAGAAAAGGATGGGTGTGTCAACATACAATAACACCCAAACTGAAATAAACCGACTGCTTGGAAGTCTTATCTAATCATGTAATTAATGAAAAGAGAGGGCAAAAGTTGGCGAAAACAAGCCTCTCGAAACGTCGATGCAATAAGTAATATTGGATTCGTATAGTAAGGTGCGGGAGAGGAAAATTACGAGATGCATTCCTCGAAGGAGATTTACTGGATGAGTTATTTACTTCGCATAGTTGATGATTTCCAGCTCGCTGGTAATAGATTAATTTTCATGCTGACAAGTAGTTAACGGTGTCGAATCGAGGTTGATTGCAATTATGAATATCCGTTATTGTATGCTCTTGAACCATTTTATTTCATAAACATATTGTTGCTTATGATGAACTGAATTGTAAAAACAAAAAATGTATAAAATTTTCAAAACTTTTTTGAAAAAAATGTCATCAACCCAACAGTTACGATTTCTTCTAACCAATCTAAAGTGAAGGTGATCAATCATTGATTTCTCATTTCACGTCGAAAGCTCGGCCACTTACGGATAATCTAAATCTATATGGCGTGGCATTGTAAGCATAATGTAGATTCGTCAGGAAATTTTTTTTCGCTTTTTCGACAGAATCAAAATACGCCACACGAGTTTATCATCAATCCGCAAACGTCAAGGCCAACCAAAAAATAACATTTCGAAGAGAGAGAAGAAAGAGAGAGAGAAAGAAAGAGAGAGTGAAGCGATCGGCAAGACGTCTATTAAAAAAGTCACGCAAGATAGATTACACCTCGGCTCGAATAATATCAAAGGCGTATATTCGCCCCCTCTTGGCCTGCTGCTTCGCACAAGAGAAAACTGCATTCAGAGATCGAAACTCTTGTAGTCACTCACTGTTGAAATGAGACCTTGTAGTGTGTCTACGCGATGATGAATTTTGCCTGCATCGAATCAAGTTCGAGGTTCCCCGTCGCCACACCTTCGCAGCAGCCTTTTTCCTTTATACAGCTCACGCATTTGTATGCCCGAGAGCTTATACGCATCTGATGGTATCTGATGTAATGTACGCGCCATGTAAATTCGATGATTAAATTTCACGTTATTTATAAAGTCCCTCGTTGTTTGTATGACGATTGGGTAAAACAAAATCGATAAAAGTATGTTCACAAACATTCGAGTCCGTGCTGATGGAGCGAATTTCAGCAAAATTATTCTGCTTTGAATTCTCGTAATAATCCATCTTACTCTCGACGCAGCGCGGCTCGACTCACTTGCACCACTCGCTGCTGCAGCTCCTCGTTATAAATGCGCTCATCTTCTGCTGACGTTTGTACCATTAAAATCTAATTGATTTTGCATTCAAGCGTAATATATAATCATTCGATTTCAATTGCATTCGCTTCGACGTCTTTTTATCTCGTCAATGTTCTCCCCTTATGCAACGCCAGCGCAGCTCGCGTATCTTCATCTATATAAAGCGATCCTTTCGTCGATTCCCTTTGAGGAGACCACCCGTCCTTCATCATCGATAAGGATCGCGTGAAACCTCAATTCTGACGGCGTGGAGGTACTTTGATAAATGATCACCGATGCTTCATGATCACTTCTACTTCTTTGCCAACGGGAGAGGCGAAATGTCAAGGTTGCCGTTGTCTAAAGTTTGATATATATTTCATAGATACTTTCAAACCTATAATTCTTCGACTCTTTTCATGCTTTTTAGAATATATTATCTCTTTGGCATGACTCTTTTCATTCTTTGCTCACGTATTAAGAAATTGCAGTTGATTATTTCAATTAACCAATAAATACTATATTTAAACAAAAACAAGTAAAAAAATAACAGACATTTAAAGTTCAGTAACCGTACTTTATAAATAAAAAGTATTTTTACTTAGCCATTTGCAGATTTACAGGTGAAGGTACTCGCCATCTAATGGTGAATTCAATTATGATTGAATTGTTATAAAATTTTTTAGCATAACCAACCAGAATTAAAACATAAATTTTTAATGAAGATCGCGCATAAAATCACCTTTAATTAAATTCAGTATCAATTACTCTAATTCTAATGTCTGATTTTGTATTAAATGAAAACGTTTTTAACCGTGTATATTTTATACTCACAAACTGGTTTACGAATGATTTTTGATTAGGATATTTAATACTTATTTCAATAAAAGTTCAATTTTATTGTAATAAAACTAATATTCCATGAAAAATTATCTTTATATTTTAAATATACATATGTACAATTTTTTTTAATATTCGTTTTTGATAAAGATTAGTAGTCATCCGCAGATTAGCAGACTTGGGAGATTTAAGACTCGTTCATAACGTTTTCTATCCAGTCTATATAAGACGATACCTTGGTATAGACTGAAGGCGCTCCAACGAAACCACAAGGAACTACTCCCCAGGAGACAACCCCAACTAATTGAGCTTTTCCGTTTTTTTCTTTAATGAGTGGACCACCCGAATCACCCTGTAAAACCCAAAATAATGATTTACCAAAGTTTCAATGCACATAAATTATAGATCGCTACAGCAATGAAAATGTAATTGATGATCAGTTATACACTGAGAAAAAAAATTCATTGATTCAATGAAACGTTTAATTGAATACAATCTATGAAATAATTCATTCATCCAACAAAATATTTAATTGTTTTCATGAAACTTTGGTAAAAACAATTAAATATTTTGTTGGATGAAATAAAAAAAGATTATTTCAATGAAATTATTTCATAGATTGTATTCAATTAAACGTTTCATTGAATCAATGAATTTTTTTTCTCAGTGTATTATTGGGGGTTCTCACCTGACAAGCTGAAATTCCTCCAGTTATAGGACCAGTGCATATATTACTCGATACGACCTTCGTGTCTCCGTATTTTTCCACAGCTTTGTTGCAAACGTCCAAACCAATTGTCGTTAATGTAGCCTTTTGCAAAATATCAGGTGTATCTCTACCATTTGAGTGAACTGCTCCCCAGCCACTTAAAATTACCTCACCCTCAACTTCGCTATTTTTTGAGGGTAAGTCGATCGGTTTTACATGTTCATTAAAAATTAAAGGACTTCGCAATTTGAGGAGCGCAATATCATTAGGCCCAATCTTTCTGTAGAAAAGTAAAGACAAATTGTCTAAGTGATTGAAGAATTAAGTCAAATAATAAGAATAAAACTTACCCAGAATAATTTTCATGAACAACTATTTTCTCAACTAGATTTTCTTGTTGCGTTCTCTCAATACGATAAATTGAATGTTTTCCAGACAAAACATAAGCTTTAGCATATGGTGAAATTTGATATACACAATGAGCTGCTGTCAAAATCCAATTTTCATTAAGAATGCTGCCTCCACACGAGTGAGATTTATGTCCAACATAATTAATTTGCAATGAAATTTGATACGGAAATTCGCCTGGTAAGGCGTTTTCACCTCCATTGATGCGAGCTACTGTTGATCCTACAGATGGCGATCCAAGACGAGGAAATCCTATGTAAATAACAATTTTAAGTAATGCCTAAAAGATGTATAATATGGTCTAATTTTAATTTTTACCATGTGCGATTGCAAATGATAAACACAGAATTACTAATTTCAACGACATGTTGACTGTGAATAATGAAAATGTTGAAGGAAGTCGGACTTATATATTTTTCAGTTAATTAATCGATTATCATAATCAGTCATTGAATTTTATCAATTATATCACGTACTGATTTACTAGAGATAGACAGACAAATTCTTGTTTGAGTGATAAAATAATTAAAGTAAAAACGATCTGATACTTATAATTAGACTGGATGAGCATTGTACCTTTTGCGAATCAAAATAAAATAAACTCAATGTATCTAAAAAATCTTCATTGCTGATATAGTTCTATATTTAGATGTATATTGCATCATAAAAAACAGACATTTTCATAGATTGATACGGGACATTTTGAGAAAATAAATTCAAAATAAACACTCTTTTTTTTATACATCATTTACCGTGAACAATTGTGTTATCAGTATCATAGCAAATAAGTCACATCATTCCTAATATTTTCATATTAACGGTATCCTCATTCGATGCCAAATTTTTATACATATTTTTACTAAAATTGGCATAAGAATAAATGTTCAAATGTTTCGGAGGCCCTTTACAATGGTTTTTTCTGATTCATTGACAATGTCCCTGGATAAGAATATTAATAAGGCAAAGTATTTCAACAACAGTTATTCACGAACACAAAAAGTAGTCGCTAAAGTAATAATTTCTTATGTCATTTCGTTATCAATAAGACAAAACGTTTAAACATCTTTTTCTTGCTATTTGCAAAGCAACGGCTTTCTTTCTCTAATGTGTTGGATCTCTAATATGTTTGAGGAATATAAAATTTATTTTCCAAAATGCTCTTAACACTATCTGTAAAATCAATCAACTATTAATTACCGGTTGACATCGATTTTCTACGAGCTTTCTTCCAATCTCTCTTTTATTTTTAGGTCTGTAGAATTTTTCTCAACTCAATTGAGTAAGAATCGATAGGATCGATCGACCGTTATCTTTACAGATATTTTAGTTTTTTTACTCTGTCATTGAATGATGCAAGTAAGAGTAACAAAACATATTGACTACAATAACATCATATATTGACTTGACACTGAACAAAATATTTGTCATTATCGACTACTTATGGGATTAAAAACCATATTAATAATTTAAGGTTTTTTATAAAAATAGAGAGATGGAAAGTGAAAGAAAAGCTAGAAAATGAGAAGGTAAACGAATTAGAGCAAAATCTTAGTCTGACATACACCAGAGAAGTACGTGAAACAGATTACAGTATGAGAAAGAATTAAAGTTAGCTGTAAGAAGAAATGCGAAGAGAAAGATAGAGAGGATGAGAAAGTAAAAGAAATGACCAAGCATTTCGCGTAGTGCATCGTTAAAATGTGGCGCATTTACCGCGCTTAGTAAATATAATAGTAGTGCATGTTGTGGCAATTAAAATACTTCCGCCTTATTGCATCATACTATAACTACCTTATCAAAACTGCAGTTTAACACTCGTGTCGTGTACGACGCATCGCAACTTTTGCCTCTCTCTCTCTCTCTCTCTCTTTCTCTCTCCCTCATCGCGTATGCACTTGGACGACCAAAGATACGAGTATCAAGCATATGGAAATACTCCCGCAGTCAAATAATGAATTTCAAAAGCTAAAAGTGCATATTTTTTTCCTTATCAAATGTGGTTAAGTAATATTTTTTAAAAAGCTTACAACTCACTCGTAAATTCCGCGCGAGTTCCCGAGTCAAATGGATAGATCTAGTCAAAATTGCAGAATTATTTAAAATATGTTCCTAATTATTCGTTTAAAAATTTTTTTTCATTTAACTTATTATTTCACGTAAAATTTTAAAAATGTATACCATTGAATTCGAAAAAATTGTACACAAAAAATAATGTAAGCCTCTTGTGGATCTAAATAATTCTTATTTCAACGCTATTTTATTTTATGTTCAGTATATTTTTGGCCAGTCAAATGAATGTAATATGAGAGAAACAGTTTTCATACCAGCGGCCCGAAAGTGACTACTTGCCTACCGCTGCGCAAAGCTGGAAGAGCGATTTTCGGGCCAATGTGTATGAAAAATAGTATACAGGCCTATGCCACGAAAAAAGAAAGCCCCAGAGCACGTGTTTATCGGCCTCGGCTTCGCCTTGGCTACTAATTACACGTACCCTGGGACTTTTCTGTTTTTTTGCAGCCTAGGGCAGAAACATACTATTTATGATATGCGAATCAAATTATTATCAGCCTATACGAGAATTTTCGTCTCGCATCGTCTTTAATCGCTTCTTCCTAAATGCAAACATATATAAATGTAAGGAAGCATTTGTAATTCAAATGTTCAGCTATACCGCGCTCGATCGATGGTCGGTGGCTGATGGGCGCCTGGACGTCTTTCTTTCTTGTGTCTATAAACGTACACGCATTATATACTTTTCACTTGTTAAATTCGATTCTTTTTCTTTGCTACTTGCTTGAAATACGTTTGCTCGCAACTTGCCTTAACTCAACAGCTGCAGCTTATTCTTTTCTAGAGAGTGTCTCCTTTCTAACTATTCTTGCATATTAACGACTTGGAATTCTATAGGTGTTTTTTATTTTTATTTTTTAAACATACTGTGATTTGCATTTATAAACACTGGTCAATGATATCGGAAAAAAGCCTCTGTTGTGCCCCTGGACACTCCATTTCTCGCAATATAGCGTGCAAGCTTGAGCCAAAAATATTTTCCTCCATTAATGAATGCCAAAAGTTTGTCTTCGCAAAGGTGAATCATTAAAATTCAGGATAGCCAGCCGCTGAAGTACCTGTAAGAGCAATCCGGCGTAATTTTTCGAAACGTCAGTTCTACAGGCAGTTGCATCCATCACCTGTAAATTAGCTCATCGCTTTCTTTATTGCAGAGTAATCCGCACGAGTTGAAAAACCGACCCACTTTACAATAGTAAATTAGATTACTCCCTCTTTTTCTCTCTCCCTCATGTTGGCTCGAGCCTTACCTATTCTTCTGCACTGTTGCACTCAACGCTTTACCGCAGCCGCACGAGAATATATACGCATATAATACTATAATATACCAGAGCTATAGCTAGCATGGCTCTTGAAAAGTAGGAGCGAAGAAGAAGCAGCAGCAGCAAAAGAAATACGTCTCTGGACTTATCGTTGGCGATCGAATGCTGTATGCACGCGCGCTGTGCGGAATTGCTGTCTCTTCAGCAACGGCGATTTTTCTTAATCCCGACAGTTCAATTGCATTCCTGCTTAGTTTGTGTACATACATCTGCGAAGCTGCTGCTGCGCAGAAAAATGGAATCCCGCTCGTAATTAAGGACTCCCGCGTGCATTCGCCTCCTTATTGTTAATGTCTTCTTGATCTGCATTTCTCCTTTGTAGAATATACTTAGAGTCAAGCTGTTTAGCCCCTTAGCCTGCTGTAGCAACGAAAGATCTCAACCTGCAGTAATAGACAGTCGTTGTATGAAATTGTAAATGCGTTTGTTAGGAAAATATACCAAAAATTTACCCGGTGCGAAAACTTTGAGACTTTTTCAAATTTTTATAATGATACAATAAATATTTTAAAGTTTTGTTTGTTTGATATTCAAATTAACTTATGTAAAACATTTTTTATTCTTTTTCAGGTGAGTTACTTTTCATCGTGTAAGAACATTTCGATGATTCAATTGGTAAGTTCAATATGGATGATTCATACTTTTAAAATGACAAGGATCGTGTATGATTCATCTTTCATGAATTCAAAAACAAAAAACAGTATGTACGCATTAATTCATAAGTAATCAAAATGTTCAATGTTAACCCTTACGGATTGATATTAAAACTTCTTGGAGAGGCAGGTAGAAGTTATTAAAAAAAACGTAAATTTAATGCATATTTAATGTAAATTTAGGTATTAAAATTAAAGTGACTGCATGATGCTTAATTATATTTAAGAAGCTTTTAAATAATCTTTTTAGAACTTGAATGAATAAAATCTATTTTATTTCCGCATTAAATTAAACAAACAGTTGCATGAAATTTGATATCATAATGAACGAAAAGTATATGATTCTATTATACTCAAATTTATTCATCTTGATTGAAAAGTAATGTTTTAATACTAATTTATTTTTTCCCTCATTATTTAATAAAATTAATCGAAATCTAATCAAAATTAAAACCAGCCTAAACCACGAAAAAGAGAGTACCTTTTATCAGCAGTTGGCAAAGTAAAAGTAATTGTTTAATTCAGGGTACGATTTTCATTTCCAATATTATAATAGTCGAGCTAAATTGATATTTAAAAAAATAAAACAAATTAGTTCTTGACTGGGAGAGAATGTGAAAGAGAAAACTCAAAGTATCCTTCATAAAATGTATGTTCATAAATCTTGAGACAATGAGCAGAGGAAGAATGAAATCGAAATAAATTAATTAGAAAAAGCGTTCCCTTAGCCTCTTGCATCCGCGCGTGCGAGCCCTATTTCCAGTGTTGCAACAGCAGTAATAGGTGAAAGCGAAAGAGAAAAATGGCTCAGGAAAAGCCGTTTAATTCTTTATTTCACGGTATGAAAAATGATGTTTCGCGGAAATTTCGAGAGAAAGATAGGACGACAGCAATTTCCAGTTATAACGGCTAATCCGCATTTCATCGAGTCGCGCGCGCGCCACCTAAACGCTTCTTTTTCTCTCTTTCTGGCTCGCACACATACACTCCATCTTTTCCCCAGTGGGATATAGAAGTCGTGGTTGCAGTAAAATATAATTGGGTTTTGAGGATTATCCAGCAAAGCATGGAACAAAAAATCTACCCTAGCTATATCCACTTTTTTCATGCTACCACTATATCCCTTCTTCTCTCGGCACCCTCTCGGACACATTATTTTTTAACTGCACCACATCTATTTTTCACGCTGTGTTCTTAGATATGTAGTTGGAAGGTAAGGCGTATTCCAAACAGGCGCTACATCATAGAATGGCAAAGATCTGTAGACTATTTTACTTTTTATTTGCTGTACAGACAGGAGCGAGAAAAACTAAAAATTGAATTGTAAGGTGACAGATTATGAAAGCGGATTTG